ACTGCGCTAAAAAGTCAAAATTGGAAAAACTTATGAGACAACATAATAGGTTAGTCGCACTGACCTATCATCATGATTACGCATCCTATAAGGAACGGATGAGCAGGAGCAGGTATAGCTGCTCTTTTGTCGATAACAACACAGACAAAGAACATGAGAAGAGCTGTTCCAGCGACCTGAGCGAAATCATAAGAATGATAGAAATCACAGGAATGCGTTGAAGAAGATGTTACTTGATCAAAAAAAGCGATGGTGTTGCTGACATGCGGCTCAGGAAAGGAACAGAAGCATCCTCCGGTTCCCGAAGGTCCAGCTATAATTCGTTCTCCTCCAGTGTACTTTTGGAATTGATCTGCAGCAAACGATGGAACATGTTCATTGAGAATACTGATGTGGCAACACTTTTACCGTAATATATTCCATAGGCACCGGCGGTTCCGACAAATGCCCCCACGGTCTGTGCAAAACAATAAATCACACAGTCTTTCAAAGGAAGTTTTCCCAATGTATAGAAGGCAAACGAAATGGCTGGATTCAAGTGTCCCCCTATAATACCATTCTTGAACGTTTCCGGAAATATTACGCACAACTTACCTGACAGTTTACAGATGGTATAAACGCAGAATGCAATTGCAAATCCCCATCCGACGTTTATTTGTATCCATGTGTTAAGTTTTTCGTGCGAAAGTATCAACTGCATAACAATTCCAATTCCGATAAACTAAAAACAATTTATTCACCGTTTTCTTTGGCAGAGTAGTCAAATTACACTCACCAGCAACATTCCAGTAGCGAAAAATTCGCCGAGAGCATTGCGAAGGGTCTTGTCGCGTATTTGAAACTTTTGGCGAAAACGTTCCTCCGGGAGGATAGGCTCCACTATTCTAGTCAGGGGCTCCACCATATCTTTTACCTAAAATAATTCTTGACGCTTAGTTAGTTTTACTTGAGCTTTTCATTCGCATGATTGTGAAGATAATTGAAGCTTGATGAATACAAGAGCGATAGGGAAAAACAGTTCTAAAGCTTTAAAGTTAAAAGTAATCCAAAGACATTACATGTGCAAATTTAGGTTTGAAAAATCATCAGCATTTGTGGCATACATACTGTTTGCTATAAAATTTGCGACCTTTGAGAAAGGGAGAAAGCAGAAGTTTAGAAGAATCGAACTCACTGTCTTGGTTGAGCTAAGGAGTGTAACTCCTAGCGATTGCATCACAGATTTCGCAAGATAGATACAGCTTCAAGTGATGCTCAAAAGCATTCACTGGTCAAGCTTAAAAGCGTGTCATTTTTTGAGTGTAAAAAAGTGTCGGCTTCAGTTTAAACCCTATAAATAGAAAGCAGCTTGAGTGACAAGAGCAGAAAAGATTCCTTTTTACTTGAATTCGTAGTGTTGTTGTTGTTTTTAAAATACTTATTTCTATTTCAAGAAAATGTGGTGCAAGTCACCCACGGACAAATTACTTCAACTCAAGTCTTAGCGAACTTACTTTACATAGAAGAAATATAGTTTCATAGTAGAGAAAATTCACAGGTACTCTGTGTATTTGTTATGGGTTTCGAAGGTAGAAATGAAAGAAAGGAAAAGAAGAAAATGTGCAATGCCTAAGTCTTTGGAGTACACGGCGCAGTCAAATTTTACACAAGAAACCCAGATACGTATGCCCGCGGCTCTAATGCAGAAGCTATCCAAATGTTTTTGTTTAGCTTATATGGGTTCATAAAGAATAAGGTTGCAGCAATGTTATATTTTAGAACAGGGTAAATAATACGCAAACGGTTTACTGGACTACAAAAATACAAAGAAAAACTACAAAAACTATAAAAGTCAATCAATCATTCAGGATTGCAGAGCCACTACAATAGATAAGGACATGTAATACGCTTGCCAAGAAAGGGCTGCCAAGAAATTCTCATGAAAAAATGGCACACGTTTGTTTCTTGATAACCGGTAGCAGAACATTTCGTCGTACATTCCGCAATGATATCTGATAACACGATGAGT